CATAATATTTTTAACTGTTAGAGAAATACCTTTTAACCTCATCTCTAGATAAACAAGCATTAGAGAAAAGTAGATTCTGAAGCATTTGTGAGAAGTTCTGCAGTTACCATGGTGAAGCTGCAAATTACAGATACTCTAGAAGAAGTACAACTACTGTTCACAGAATTATGCCTCTCTCCAAAGTGCTGTTTTATATTTACAAGCAAGCAAGTGTACCTCTTCCTTGAGGAACAGAAATGTATAAGGAAAGTACATTCACCGGCCACTTTATTAGGTACACCTTGCTAGTACCGGGTTGGACCCCCTTTTGCCTTCAGAACTGCCTTAATTCTTCATGGAATAGATTCAAGAAAGTGTTGGAAACATTCCTCCGAGATTTTGGTCCATATTGACATGATAGCATCACGGGCCCAAAGTGTGCCAAGAAAATATCCCTTACACCACCAGCAGCCTGAACCATTGATACAAGGCAGGATGGATCCATGCTTTCATGTTTACGCCAAATTCTAACCCTACCATCTGAATGTTGCAGCTGAAATCGAGACTCCTCAGACCAGACAACGTTTTTCCAATCTTTTTTTGTCCAATTTTGATGAGCCTGTGCGAATTGTAGCCTCAGTTTCCTGTTCTTGGCTGACAGAGTGGCACTCGGTGTAGTTTGCTGCTGCGGCTGTAGTCCATCTGCTTCAAGGTTCATCATGTTGTGCATTCAGAGATGCTCTTCTGCATACCTCGGATGTAAGGAGTGGTTATTTGAGTTACTGTTGTCTTTCTATAATCTCAAACCAGTCTTCTCCTCTGACATCAACAAGGCATTTTCGTCCACACAACTGCCGCTCACTGGATATTTTCTCTTTTTCGGACCATTCTCTGTAAACCCTAGAGATGGTTGTGTGTGTGTGAAAATCCCAGTAGATCAGCAGTTTTTTAAATACTCCGACCAGCCCGTTTGTCACCAACAACCATGCCATGTTCAAAGTCACTTAAATCCCCTTTCTTCCCCATTCTGATGCTCGGTTTGGACTCCATCAAGTCGTCTTCACCACGTCCTCGATGCCTAAATGCATTGAGTTGCTGCCATGTGATTGGCTGATTTCAGCAATTTATGTTGCCAAGCAATTGAACAGGTGTACCTAATAAAGTTGTCAGTCAGTGTCCATTGGATCATTGGTGGGCATAGTGGCTTTGCAGTGCTGGAACCTTGGTTCAGTTTGCAGCAGGAAGACCACCAATGCCAGAGTATGTTATCATAGTAAACCCTCAAACTATAATTACCGTATATACTCGAGTATAAGCCGTCCCGTATATAAGCCGAGGTACCTAATTTTACCACAAAAAACTGGGAAAAAGTATTGACTCAAATATAAGCCGAGGGTGGGAAATGAGGCAGCCACTGGTAGATGGATACCAATAAAATTACATGAATATTAATTGCTTTTTGTTTGTTTTGTTTTTCATTTATGACGAGAAGAAGCATTCATATTAGCCAGTTTGGGTGAGGGGTTTATAATTCTTCATATACAATGCAGGGCTGGTGTGTATAATAAATTAAAATCTGATGATCTGTCATTTTGTTATGGTTGTTAATTATAATTTTTTTTAAAAACCCCAACAATAATAATATACTGTGCCCAAATCTGCATACCTATGACGTTTGGGTCTGGCTGTGTACTTGATCCAATCATTTTCATTTTGTATTACCAATAATTTTTTTCTTTAACAACCTGCTGACCAGGTGTTTACACCCCCTTCCTGGCCAGGCCATTTTTCAGTATTTAGCGCTGCAGTACTTTGTCATTTATTCCGTCATGCAACGCTGTACTGAAATTAATTTTATACCATTTTTTTGGGGACATATAGAGCTTTCTTTTGGTGGTATTTAATCACCACTGGGGTTTTTTTTATTTTTTACTAAATTAAGGAAAAATTACTGAAAATTTTGAGGAAAAAAACTTTTTTTCTTACATTGTTAGGAAATAATCATTATTACCCAATTTTTTTGGTAAAATATAAAAGATCGGGTCACGTCGGGAAAATAGACACCAAACATGTCAAGCTTAAAAATTGCGCGCACCCGCAAAATCGCAAAAAAAACTACCATAACCAAAACAGACTTCGGCTCTATAGCTTGTATCGTTCGCATGTAAACAGGCATCGCCGCCGCCTGTTTTTAAATTTTGGGCAGTTTGCCGCGCACGGGCGGGGCTAATAGGTTGTCTTCAGAAACAATACAATGGTATTTGTTGGATTCAAAGCCAAGACCACATTCTTAAGACTATATTACTACTGACCAGAGTTGGTATAAAAGAGAGCCAAATTGGTGTACCAAAGTATATGTCCATATTATATAAACTCTATCGTATTGCTCTTAAAGAGGACATCTACTGTAGAAGCTGTGAATAACAAAGGGCAAAAGACTTGGTACCATTATTGTCTGTAGACACTGTGCAGTTGATCTTTTCCCCAGGACCAACTTACCTTATCTCCATTTTACACCTTGTCTTTCTGTGAAGATGACCATCTTGTGAGAAAAGCAGGGCTTTGCTTACTCATGTCAGACCCACCCTTCTGGTGGCTGGTGATCTAATGACTGGTGGCGTTAGTGATCCAAAAGCTGCAGGAAAGGAGGAGAAAGCACAATTCCACAGAATGAATGAAGTAGGAGTAAGGAGATGCTTTCTGTGCAACCTCTTGGGTACAGCTTCCTTTTCAGCAGTTCCTCAGAAGAACAGTACAGTAGGGACATCACCATCTGTCACTGCAATGCTCAGACAGACACTTCAAATCTCATTTGAATAGGTAATAGAAGATATATATTAGAAAAAACTGGTAGACACCAGGGTGCGCAGTCTAAAGGCCAAACAAGGCACTAGATAAAAGGTGCATGGGCATAAAAGCACTAGATGTAAGGGGAGTGATGAACCACTAGTCGGATATGGACATGATAAAAAAACTGCTATACACCAGGGGGATGGTGTGGTGAGTGTGTATATGTGTTTGTGTGTGCATGTTTTGTTTTTTTAATTGCTATTTTGCGTTCTATTGTAGGTAATAGGCTGGACAAATCGCTTTACATGGTGCTTCATGAGCTGTAAATAGATATCTAGTTTTGTTGTCTTTTAGCAGTGTGCTACATGTGGCATACTAAGGGCCCATTCACACAAGCCGCTGCGCTAAATTGCACAGCTGGTGCCTGGCACAGTGCTGATCCCCGATCCTGGCACATTGCACTGTGTGTACTACTTTTTTTTTTTTCACATTTCATTCAGTTTTATAAGCACAGCAGGGTGCAAGGTGGTTGTACTGCATTGCATCTTGCTGTGCTAAAAGAGTACTGCATGTCGTACTCCATTTAAGCGCATGCCACTGTGGTGTAAATGGTGTCCATCTGTGACAAGGCAGATTGCCTTGTCTTACGTTGGCGCTGCACTGGAAAAAATGGCCAGCACAGCACCAACACATCTGGTGTGAATGGGCCCAAAATGATTTGTAGTGATATATGAAATGCAACAAACATTCACCCTATAAGATGCTCAGTCAGTACATCATACATTTTGTACATTTTGTTTTTTTACACTGAAAATCTAGAAAAAGAAAATAACCAATTGCTTTCCTTCATCCTTGTGACTATTTGTTTACCAGGTTTGGAAATTGTCCAGTGCTAATATTTCTGCATTTTTACATAAACTACACCAAATAAGAATTCTTTTTAAATATGGTCACTTTTTTATGGGGTTATTTTATGAAGGCAAGCCTATGCCATTTTCTAACATATCACTGTGTGCTCACAGTGCAACCATGATCTTGGTTGGCTTACAAAGTGCTGCATCCTTTTCAATCCAGGCAGAACAATGGGTCACTATGAACCTTGCTTCTTAGAATCACACCCACATTTAGCATAGTTACATAGTCAGTCAGGTTGAAAAAAAGACTCCAGTCCATCGAGTTCAACCTATAGAGATACGGAGAAAAAAAAAAGAGAGGAGAAGAAAAGCCTAAACAGAACGCTATACTCACAGCTACCCCCTGTTGATCCAGAGGCATATCCACAAACTGCCAAAGGTAGATGAGATGCTTCACGCCTTACAGCATTTTGTACTACTTAAAGTGACACTAAACTCAGGAGTTAAAGGAAGAACAGTATCAGCATGAATTCAGAGATGATTTGAGCATCTACAGCTGAGTGATACACAAATAAGATACATTTTGTTAATAGTTAAGGTACCTGCATGCATTTTTAAGATGTAACTCTTGGGTTTATTGTCACTTTAAAGGTGCTTTCCCAGTTTCAGGAAATATTGCAAGTTAGGTATTTTGTAGATAATTGGGTCTTCAGCTGGTTGGGGGACAGTGAGAACAGCTGAATGTAGCTGGGCTGTTAAACTACAATGTTCTAGCTTTCTCAAGATGTGAATGTCTAGATTCCCAGTGACAAATGTCAACCACTTGTTAAACCTTCAGGTGGACTAGTGTTCAGATTGGCACAACAATAGGTTCCTGTCCATTATCTTACCTCACAGGGAGGGTTTCAAGAAACTTGAGACACCGCTTTCTAGTGACCAGGTAAACAGCTATTGGTACTACTCCTGTTATATGCTATTGTTCAGTAGAAGCTCTACTGTCAAGTACATTTAATGTATTGTGTATCTTTCTATGGTTTTATTGTTGCACGCTGGACATATACTGTATGGGGGCGAATTTATCAAATCTGGAGCAGATTTGCACTGCAACCAATCAGCTTCTCTGTCTCATTTTCAAATCTTACCTGAGCAAACTGAAGAATAATGCTGATTGGTTGCCCTTGGCAACTGCTCCAGAATTTGTCTGCTCCATTTTTGATAAATCCCCCCATATGTCTTATTGAAAATGACAAAATAAGAAATGCATTATCATGGCATCTTTCCAGCATATTCTGTATATTTCAAGATGGTAGTTTAAGAATGTTTTGTTTTTTTCTGCTCGATTTGTCTGCCATAAGCTTTTTTTTTTTTTTTCCCTAGCTATGTTTTGTACTGGAAGAAAAGGTTTTCAGAGCAGGCGATAACAGACTTCTGCTCAGTAATCAAGACTAACTCACAAGCTCCAGAGGGTAAGTGACGAATCTGGTAAAAATGTATACATAAATGCACTCTTTCATCCAACGAACTGAGCCACTGTAGATCATAAACAAGGTTCACATTCATCCTATGTTATCTGAATACATATTCACTGGAGTAATTTGATTTTTTTTCTCTTTTATATCCCAAAAATGAACAGGTAATAGATATAAAATTGCTTGATTAATGTGTAGACAAGTGAGACGTTGTATAGACTATATATGCCAACACTATCCCTGTTTAACATTTTGAATACAGATGTTTTTCAGGATGCTGGGTAATCACTATGACTGAGTGAAGCATTTTTACTTTGCTACTTTACTGTTGGACATCAAAAAAGTCCTAGCTTGAAGGGTAATTTGTGGCATAATTGGGCTTGCCATGTTGGGTGTGCCAGCCTCTCTTTTTTTTTGTCAGATCAATGAGGCCCATTATAAAAAAACTGGGTGGAGGAGTTACAGGGGTTGCAGATGTCACTGCTGCAATTGGGCCCCTGCTTTAGGGAGGACCAAGGCTAATACCCCCCTTCACCTTCATGCAATAACACAATTTGTGTTGCTATTAGACAAAGAGCTGGTGTCAGACAATTCTCCACAGCAGAGCTGCACAGGGAAGCTGCTGAAAACAGTATGTAACAGTGATTCACAACAAATCTCTACTGCTGAAAAGCACTGCAAAGTGATACTGCTCCAGGTGGACTCCGGGCTATTCTCTGCTGTCTGCGGGTGCAATGGATAAACATTCAGCTCCCCGGAATACAACCAAGTTATACAAAAAGCCACACGTCTGCTCTATCCACTTTTTCTTCAATTACCTTTATTGCTCTGTGTCATATATCGAGCATAGTGCTTCACCACCAGACTCTGCTTCTCCTCCTCTAACAAGTTTCACCACATTAGGGGCTTTCTGTGGCTACCATGTTTCCCCGAAAATAAGACAATGTCTTATATTTTTTTTTCCACGAATATAGACACTAGGTCTTATTTTCGGGGGATGTCTTATGTGTACCTGGCTGCAGCTGTCCGCTCTCCGCTCGTGCGGGAGGGAGGGAGGGAGCTGTGGCCGCTCTCCGCTCTAATGCCGTCCAGGGAGCCAAGATGACCTGTTGCTGATTTGTTTACTAGTCACGCTCTACCTCGTCTGCCAAGTTTTGAAACCTTTACCATTTACATCTGGTCATCACTGAAAAACTGTTAAGTTATGACAGATGTAAATTGTTTACTTGAACTTCGGTCAACCTTCTGAAACCTTTCATACTAGCATGATCATCTTCTAGTGAATAGTTATTGATGCATCCCTACATATTTACTGTGCTTGGCCATGTGATCTGTGTTGTCACATGTCGAAGCGAAGGCAACGGGTAGAGAACACCCTCAGCAGCTTCCCTATATAGCTTTGGAAGGAGAATCATCAGACAGCAGCTCTCAGTTTGCGCCCGGAACGCACTGGATCGCATAGATCAAGCCATGCTTGCAGCATTTTTTCAGATTGCATTGCCCTAGAACTTAGGGCATTCCGGCACCTCGCGTTCCGGTGAGGGCAGTCGTACTGCGGGCGAGGGGCATGTCTGTGGTGCCATTGACATAAATGCCACTGACACGCCCCTCTCGCTTCTGAATGCACCCCGGGTTGATCTATGCGATCCAGTGCGTTCCGGGCACAAACTGCACCGGGACGCAATGGATATGGTGTGACTGGACCCTGAATGTAAGTTTTGCTACTGAAGGGGGTGGGGGTCCTGTACTTATGTAATATGCCATTCTACAGACTACTCCACACATATCAGACTCTGCACTGTCCTTTCAGGAAGAAAAAGTGAAGATGCTTTTCTTGAGCATCATTAACTTGAAAAGTACTGCCGTTATTTAACCCATTTATGGTAAATAAAAGTTTCACTGCCTTATACAGTTGAATTTTTCCATCATTCCATAGAACAACAAGAAAACTACTTTCTCCTTTGTGATGTTTTGCCAGAAGACCGAGTCCTACGGGAAGAACTACAGCAGGAGAGATTGGTGAGCTATGAATAGTGGCACCCCTTTACTGTAACATTGATTTCATTAATGCTAAAAGTGTATCTAAACCCAAAAATTTAATATATTGCCATATGTTTACCAGTCCTTAGATTACAGTGGCTGCATTAGTTTTCTTTTTCACACTTTTGTTTACTTTATTTCACCTAGTGATCCTGCAAATAACATACTTCTTGCCACTTCACATCTATGCTTATCTCTCCATTTTACCTATGGAGAGAGCAATTATTGTCAAATAGACTGGGCTTCACTGTATCTATGGAGGGAGCCATGGCTGTTGCAGAGCCTGGACTTCAATCAGGTCTGCCTTTGTTCATCTCTATTACACTGTGTATTGATGGGGCTAGTGGTTTAGGTTATAAAGATAAGGTTCTTTATATAAGTGTGTTGTTTTAGGACTCACAGAAGGAAACAAGGACACTGCATTTCTGGCAAGATTCACAGGTATTTTGTAATTGCTGAAAATGTTCTTAGATTAAAAAAAGAAAATCTAACGCAGCCGTCATATCTAAAAACTGGTAAGCTGAGGGGAGTGTTCTGGGCGGGATGTGAGTAGATGTGCATGCTCAGGCTCCTGCTGACTATTCTGCATGACCATCCTTGTCTAGTGCTGCTGGCATGTACTAGCTGTGGTGTGAGGTCATCTGTGATCTGAGTGAGGAGGATTGGAAAGGAATTATTCAGTGAGACAGTGTGAGCTGCCTGACTGGTGATGGAAACAAGCTGTGCTGCTGGAAAAGAGAGCTACATGAAGCTCAGCGGGAGTAAAGAAAAGGTGGAAATGTGACCATGAAAAATAAAGAAGTCAGCGGTGGCGATGGTGGTACAAAATACCCAAGATGGAGGTGGTGGTGGTGTGCATCCCCCTAAGATGAGCAAGGATAAATGAAAGGAGACTGCAAAGCATTTGGAAAGTTCACCCATACACCGAGCAGAGATACAACACTGAAAATGGGGGAATCACTATCTAGTCATCAGGCTCATTGGGCACATGAATCTGCCCTGCCACTAACACAAACTTTGAGTAATCTAACTGCTCCTACAATGGATCATTCAGTGATAGCTATGTTAACAGCAGACTCAGAGCCTACATTGAGAGATACATTAGACATTAGATAATACATTAAGATATGACTCAATCTGCTAGATTTATTGGGTAGATTGGCTTATATGACATTTGGAGGCTGAGGCACCCTATGATTAGACCGGTTTCTTGTATTTCACAATCCCACAACACTTTTTCTCATATAGACTTGGCTTTGGAAATGGAAAATGTTACCATATGTTAAAGGTTCTCAATACATAGCACGTGATCACTCTCCTTTTGGTGATATACCTCCAATTCCAGTCTAGGCGCAGAACAGCGTTCTGGAAAGTTAATCCTTATTGGCTCTAGGTAATTCCCAATCAGGATAATATTTTACAACAATTACAGGAATTTTTGATCATTAATGGGTTCACTGCTCCTTCTCCTATAGTTTGGGACACGCTTAAAGCCTTTCTCTGGGGTCTACTTAAGGAAGAGATCCTTGGGATAAAAAAAGGAGTCTAGGGCCCGGGCAATCAATATTACTGAAGCAGTTCAACAATCAGAAGCTATCTAGCCTGTCCCACAATATCGAATCGGAAGATTTGGTTGGAACATCAGGAGTCTTATAAGTGGTTATTGAAGGCTCAAAGGAAAAGGTCCTTCTCCTCACAGCCTTATTTTGAGGAAGGGGAGAAGGTCGGACATTGTCTGGCTACTATTGTTTGTTCACAGAAAGCTTTGTCATATGTTAAGGGTATTTATAATGATCAAAATCATTTTGTGACAGATTTGTCTGAAATCCTTAATATTTTTTCAGCTTTTTATTGTGATCTGTATAGTGGTAAACTCTCTTAGGATTCAGACGACCTGACACAATTTCTGGTTTCAGTGCATCTCCCAAAGTTGACTGAAGCCAACAATATATTCCTGACTGCCCTGATAACACAGGATGAACTCGGAGCTGTTTTTAGGGCAGCCCCTAATAGTAAGGCACGAGGGGCAGATGGATTGCAATTTGAAATTTATAAAAGATAGGATTCTATTTTTATCCCTGAGCTCATGAAAGTTTTTAAAGAGGCCGTCCAGACTACGAAACTGCCTGACTCAATGGTTAAAGCTGCTATCGTGGTTATTCCTAAAGCAGATGGGAATGATAGGCTTCCGGGGTCCTACAGGCCAGTCTCCCTATTGACATTAAGGCATTTGCTAGGGTGCTGGCTGTGGGGCTATCAAAGGTTATTGGTAAGCTTATTCACCAAGACCATGCAGAGTTTATACCCACCCGTTCTACAGCTTAGACTATACGTAGAGTGTTCCTTAATTTGCAGATACCAGTTGTGAATAATGGAAACAGGGCTATTCTATCATTGGACACAGGCAAAGCATATGAAAGTGTTGAGTGGGAATATTTATGGCAGGTATTGGTTTGGATTTAATGAACAATCTATCTCCTGGACCCGGCTGCTGTATTCTAATAATCGGGCACATGTAAAAGTGAACGGTGGATTGTCGGAACCAATTCCCCTTTATAGAGGTTACAAGACAGATGTCACCTTTTGTTGTTTGCATTAGCCTCAGAGCCTTTGGCTGTGGCAATAAGGGGATCAGAGACGGTGACCTGATTTAGAAGAGAAACAGTAGAAGATAGTGGCATTCTATGCCGATGCTCTGATCTTTTTGAGAGACAATAGGAAATCTTTGGAGGCACTAATTAGATTTTTAAAATGCTTTTGGAGGCTTTTCTGGTTTCCAGATAAACTGGGACAAATCTATGTTATTGCCGGTGGGCCCCAAAGAGCATCAATTGCCAAATGTGCCACTTAGATACAGAATGCACCAATTGTTAAATATTTGAGGGTCAAAGTTTCTTGTGACATTTCTGAATATATTACTCTAAATATTCAACCATTATTAAGTAATTTTCAAGCTAAGAGTAAATGTTGGTGCAAGTTGCCATTATCAGTGGTTGGTAGAATAAACTTGATAGCAATGATCTGGATGCCCAAGCTATTGTATTTCCTACATAATTTACCAATCTGGATTCCATCAAGAATATATATTTTTTAAATGATAAATTATTCAGAGAATTTATATGGCATAAAAAGACACCGAGAATAAAATAACTTACTTCCAGTACCCTATAAGTGAGGGGAGATTGGCAGTACCCCATCCAAAGCAATATTTTTTGGCATTTCGGAACAAATGGCAGGGTGGGAAAAGTATGACGAGGGAGCTCTGATACGGAGACTTTTAAAATGCCCATTGATTTCACTCTTAGAGGCAGGACCTTTTGAAAAAGGTACCAAGTTCCCTACATTGATGCTTTTGTACAAGGGTTGGTCATTATTGAAAGACTAGCTACAATATAGGGGCTATACGCGTTATATGCCCTTATGGCACAATCCTCTTCTCTAAGAAGTTTGTAAACTGAAGGGATTAGAATCATGGGCTTTAGTAGGGCTTCTATATTTATATAAGGTATATGGAGATAATGTGATTAAATCTTTTGCAGAGCTTCAAACTTCCGTTTTCATTGCAGAATAAACAGAATAAATCCTTTTTTTTCCTTTTTTTTTTTTCCCCCACCATCTACAATTGCGTCATGCATTACAGGCACAAAAGCGTACCTTTTACACTTAACATATTCAGATTGTTCCTTTTTACATGTAATCGTTCAGGCAAGGGAAACTAGTTGTGGCTAAATAGCAAATAAATATTCTAAGCTTTTGTCGTCTGTTAGATCTAAAGGTGAACTAAGATGCCAGGAAGTATGGAGTCAAGATTTGTGGGTTTGTGGGTAAAATAGAACATGTTGGGCTTAAGCCTTGAGGATAATACCTGATTTTTCCATCTCTACTACATATAGATTGACACAGTTATTTATATTGCATCAGGTGTATCGTACACCAAAACAACTTTATTATTAGGGTCGGAGGCAAACCCCTTTGTAATAGGTGTGGACAATCAGATGGTACCTTTTAATATATCTTATGTGGTGCTGCCTCAAGCTTTATAGATATTGGGAGGGTATGATTCAGACTATAAATAGTGTACTCAGTAACGCTACTAGTCAGATTGATGTCTTTTGGGTATCATGTCTGGGAACTCAATTACAGGGTTCTTAAAACTCTATTACTAGGCTTGTGTTTATAGCTAGGAAGTTGATGGCACAGAAGTAGATATCATCTAACCCACCTACACTTTCACAGTGGTCAATATGACCCTGGGAAGAGAAGGGTTAACATATTGGCACAGAGGGTGTCCTATTAACTTTGATAAATTATGGAATGGATGGTTATTATTGGTAGGATTGATGTGTTCCTAAATTTTTTTAAAAATTGTTTTTGGAAAAAAAGAGGGTTTTTGTATTTTCTCACATAATAGGGAATGCTTTTTCACTTTATATATATATTTAATGCTTTAAATATTATACTCACTAAAGTCTCTCGATGATATGTACTTATGTACATAAGCATAGTGTGTGTGGTTTTTTTTTTATGTTGTTGATGTGTGTAACAATTTGTACAAGTGAAAAAAAAAAAGAACTGGTAAGCTGCAATATATTAGTTTTGTTTTTGGGTTTACATACACTTTAGAGGTGATAGTAGCCAAGTAAACATATAGGTATTTATGACCTTACCATAATCAAAGTAGTTTCTAGTGTGTGAGCAGCTGTTACAACTGTGTGGGTTACGGTCACATATTCTAGCTTTTTCCATTCTGTAACGTAATAAAGAAAGCAAAATAAGTGTGTAGCATTATTAGAGGTGAATTCTTACTGGTTGAATTGGTTACTATACTTTTCACTTTGCCTTGATTACATTTAAATCATGCTTCTTCCAAACTTTTTTTGTTTCTCTCCCTGTATATTTTTTTTTAATTCTGAAATGTGTTTTTCTACTGCAAGCCCAGATCTAATATAAGACACAGCCTTGCTAATCTTCTAGTGCAT